AGAACCGCTGCTTTAGAACATTGATTTTGAAACTTGTGAATCCATTAGAATCGTTAGAAGACAGAATCACGATTCATATGACTAGATTTTTACGTGCACCTCTAGTTTTCTCTTCCTCTTCTCTAAAGCAGCGCAGCATGGCCTCCCCCCTTCGCTGCATGTTCCCGGGGGCGGGGTTTGTCTGTTTTTGTATGCATTAAAACTGCCAGAATTTTAAAAGACCCTGGACCCTAGGGTCTATCTCCGTTTGCATTGAACCTTCAGCGCCGCAACTTTGCAGATATTGTTTATGCTCAAATAGCAACATTACACACTAACTAACGTTAAAAAAGTGAAATCGCAATCAACCACCCCTTTAACTCTCTGCAAACAGAAGATGTTCAGACAATGCAAAAACCCCTTAAGTGAACTGATTCAACCACATATCCGATCATATCAATAAAATCTTCCTTGGAAAGGATCGTAGCCTGGGAAATTGCAAATTTGCAAATTGTGACCCTGGACCACAAAACCAGTCATAAGAGTCAATTAAAAAAAAAATGTAATACATTTTTATTACATTTATACATCATCTGAAAGCTGAATGAATAAGATTTCCATTGATGTATGGTTTGTTAGGATAGGACAGTATTTGGCCGAGATACAACTATTTGAAAATCTGGAATCTGAGGGTGCAAAAAAATCAAAATACTGAGAAAATCGCCTTTAAAGTTGTCCAAATGAAGTCCTTAGCAATGCATATTACTAATCAAAAATTAAGTTTTGATATATTTACAGTAGGAAATTTACAAAATATCTTCATGGAACATGATCTTTACTTACTATCCTAATGATTTTTGGCATAAAAGAAAAATCAATCATTTTGCCCCATACAATGTTTTTTTGGCTATTGCTAAAAATATACCCAAGCGACTTAAGACTGGTTTTGTGCTCCAGGGTCACATATGATTTTGCTTCCTGGCAGACTGCTAAAATCTAGAACATTGGAGCTACTCTGACCTCTGATATTGGCGTGATGATGATTATGTTGACCCTGACTGCTTGTATGCAAGTGTGTGTGTTTTCAGTCTTAAGTCCACATAGACCACCACAGGTTACACAGGCCCAGCTCCAGCCTCCCACAAATATTAAGACACATGAGAGATGTCTATCAGCATCCAGGAGCACTGCGGGGCCAGCACTGGCTCAGCACTGGGGAGATGGGGCAGACTTACTACATGCCAGCTTCTCAATTATGGATACTTTTCTCTGTGCAGACAATAACCCTGGGAACTGCAAATGAACAGCATGCCAGGAACAAGTGAGCATAAATTTTTAAACAGATGTATTTGTGGGGCATGATTGCGGGTGGGGAGGGGTGAAATGATTCCCTAGTTGTACATTATGTTCCATCATTGCTGATGAATCCAGCCAATAGACAATGTTGACAGGAGGTGAGACAATCCTGGACCTGAAGCTCTCAGTCGTCCAGTGCCAAACTGACATAAATGAGGGAGAGGAAGTCCTGGCAGCGTCAGATACAGATGAAAAACGTTCAGACAAACACAACAATGAGGGCAAATTACACAGCCAGAGAATCTGACGTCAGTGAGACCTGAAGCCCCACACACTTCTTTGGACCTGACAACCTACTCCATTGCCAACATCCATCACAGACTTTATTCATAGATATCATGTGACGTCACACAGTGGTGCGGCCACCATTTGTAGGAACGAACATGCCGTCTATCTGCTGTGATGTGGGCTGTGATAACAGCAAATCACAACGGATTATTTACTAAGAAATGTGGATGTATGGGGCCACTTTGATTAAACATTTCTGGTAAGCATCGATGTGCATTTACATTTTTAGTATTTTACTTAGCAGGCACTCATAAAGGAGCTTGAAAAAGTTAGCTTCATGTGCAAGACTGCAGCGCACATGGCTTTCTTGATTTGCCCGAAAACTTTCAGTATGCTTACCACCTAAAGCTAATACAAGAAACCAGATGTTTTTGATCTTCGATCTAAGTATAGTTATGCGAGTCTACAGTGTTTACGCTGCACAAAACTTTGACAATCAACACTCCGATCCGCAAATAAACAGATGATGAAGAGGAGGATGATGACAGTCCAGCGTATACAAGGAGAAAGGTTCGCATTTTTAGTTTGCACATTCTTATTTTATAATGTAATTCTAATAAGCTTTATTTTTATTTCATATTTCTTCAAGGACCTGAGAGTGAAGAGGATTTGTTTTACTATTGCTAATTCTATAGAAGATTGTTGTTTTCAAATAACCTCAATTAACTAAATACATAAGCTAGTTTCAGTTGTTTATATGATGAGAATGTACTGTCTGCAATCAAACTGATTTGCATCAGTATGTCTGATATCATCTGCAAAATTGCTTCTTCACTCAGCATGTAGAAACACACAGGAATAACTGATTGTTTCTGTTAACATGCCACAAATTGCTTTTAATATTTTTCTGTTTTGTAGTAACCAAGAGAAGTGTCTTCGCTGAAGAAATGGCAGACGTTACTCCTCAGACACCCTTGAACACACGAGCAGTGCTTGGAGTCCAAGACAGTTGACATCATCTTTATTATACTTCTCTGACTGAACTAGCAAGGAGCAGTTAGAGCCAATGAGAAAGTAAGTTCAAGTAAATGTCTGCATTGACCATTATACCGTGCAACAACTGGGGGGGAATCATAACTGAAGAGACAAATTGACCAACAGGAAGCTGTGGACCTGTTGAATGTGTATTTTTCAAGCATTTTATTGCAGCATTTCTCACCTTGACATTTTCTGGACAGTCATTGGAGCACAGGCCACTGAGCACTACAGAGAGAAATAGATAAAGACAGGGAAAGACAATCGTAACTTTGTCCCACACAGATAGATAAGATTAGATTGCAGTGTCCGTATCAAATCCACTTTCACAACACTCTGCTAAACACGGGCAGAAGTACATTCACCTCCTCTAATATCACACAATTTAACAGCAACTCTGCTCCCGAACACATCTTCAGCCAGGAATTATGCCTAGAGAAAATGAATCGGGCAAAATGTGCACTAAATTCCCACTAATGGTGTGAAATAAGAGCCAGACTCTCTGCCTCTCTTGAGGCCAAACTTGACTGTGCGTTAGAGAACAGCACATATGTAAGGGAAAGTAAAAAATCATTAATTGCTCATTAGTGGCACACAAAGAACCATCTGTGTACTTGTGCATCTGTCTTTATCTAAACTCAGCATTCGATTTTTAAACTGGCAGTGACAGGCAGCACTATTTACAGACACGGCGAATTAGAAAGTTCAGGATGGAAGAACACCAGCATAAATTATATAAGTGAAAATAGAAAGGACAAAGAAAAAAAAGTGGCTTTGAAAGTCTGTGATGGAAAAACTAATTCTGAAAATGTTTCAATCACTTCTCATCCTTTGGAAATTTATAGATTTCCATATTTGGTCTGACGGACAAATGTGACTCTGGACCACAAAACCAGTCATAATGGTCATTTTTTTTAAAATTGAGATTTATACATCTTCTGAAAGCTGATAAATAAGCGCACAGTGATGACTAGTGAAAAGTGTTTCTACTAATTTACTTAAAAATGTACTAGAAATTTAAATGAAACTGGGCCACATCTGGCACGCTGTGCACGTTAGTGACAGGCCGATTCCGGCTTGAACAGCATTTATTTGAAATAGAACATTAAATTGTAACATTATAAATGTCTTTATTGTCACTTTATCTTTGATGAATGCTGAAAAACTAACTTATTCACTTAAAAACTTATTGACCCCAAAGTCTTGAATGGTAGTGCATCTCACAATGTGACTGCATATATTGCAACTGTGATTTTGTTTTGTCATAACTGCGAAATTTAAACCTCAAAAATTACAATTCACCAAATCTGCCCCTTAAAGAAACGGAGGTTATTTGCACAAAGAGCACCTACCTACTATATATCAAGATCTTCCTGGAGAAGTGAAAAAGCAATAAATTGTTAAATTGCACAGGAAGACAACATCTGACCCAGACATGACTGCCAAATATAATGTCTGCAACTTCAGAAGCCAGTTACAAAGCAAAAAATAACCTCCATTAAACTCTTCATATTGGCTGAAGCATAGTAAACAGCAGGAGGGCCTTGAGCTATATCAGCCAAACAAGGACAGGTGGTTAACCCTTGATCTCCCTGATGAAACGACCAGACAGCAAGAGACAAAAGTTGAGACTGAGCAAGCTAAAGAACAGAGAGAAACAATGTAAATGTGGGAAGATATATCATCAGAGGAAACAAAGTGATGCCTAAGAAAGCAGAGGCGAGACGCAGCTTAAAGGAGACAAACAGATATGTCACAAGAACTGGATTGGGAATAACAAACACTTCCGTGAGTGACTGCAACTTTAGGCAGATATTTGAGACTTTAAAAAAAGAACCCTTAAGGAACTAACTAAGACTTTCTCCAAACTAAAACAAAAGCTGAAATACAATAACTTTTAAGTGTTCCACTGGGTCATTTTTTTTTGCAAGTAACAAAAAATGGCAAATATTTCATTTTATTTTTTCATGAATCAGAGACTCCAAATGAACCAGGCACAAACACAAACACGATCCTTTGGTTCAAGTAAATAGCTCATTATAACCTGGCAGAGTTCAAATTGCCTATTTCCCACTATTCCCACACCTTAAAGTTGCGATTAAACTGAAGTAGCGACAGATCTTTTCTTTCATATTGTGATGTACATCCGAGTGTAACAGATTGTTAAAAAAGAGAAAAACTTCGGATGGTGACTTGGTTCTATTCATCTGTTGTTGATAGGATTTTGAGATCAACAAGTGGAGGGAGATGAGCGTGAGCTTGCAGGGGCGGGCTTTAAGCAGACAAAATTATTGGAGAAGATCACCAAAGAGAAGTCTGTCGTTTTCACAGGAAGGTCCAGTTATCACATTTTGATTAAACATTACAGGGTCACATAAAATAGAAACGTATACATGGAAGGAATGAGTTATTCACAATAAGATCTATAACATCCACTTAGAAAATATATAAGGTGAATTTTAACTTCTTGCCTACTTCAAGGAAACCTACCATATGAGTGTGATTTACACTGGCTGTGATCATCCAGGATGTGCAACAGTGTTTAGCATGCAACATTGGAAAAATAGGACAAATGCAAATGGCTATGATCCAGAACATATGAACTCATCTGTACTAACATCCCTGTTTCCGCATCTGCATATTAATTTAGCGTGAGACTGTATATCATATATGTCAGAGGCCCAGTTGGAGCGAGACAGGAGTGCGGCCCATCTTAAAGGCTCTTATTTAATCATAGAGCCCTCTGCTATCCACTGGCCTCAGGACAAACTGTCTGCACTCGGCATATCACTAAGTTAGAGAACACATGCGATGTGATCTGTGTGTGTTTGTGCGTGTCTAAAGTAGAGGATGAACGGCTGGGCAGAAGCTGTATTATCTCTTCCTTATGAAGGATGACAGAGGTCTGTGAGTGTGTATGTGTGTGTCGCTCATGTATTAACAGAGTTATGACATGCTTTGGGACCCTGCCAATGGCACTGACAGAAGAAAAGAAAGAAGAATATGTGTATATCGAAAAGGAAACAAAGTACAGAAGTGCTCACAGACAAATGGAGAGCGTGTAGAAGAGACAGAAAAACAAGAGTGAGAACATAAAAGCTTGTCTTCTCATCAGAATGAGGACAGCTTTGTGACTCACTTGTCCCCGACCTCAACAGCTAGTCAATAACGTCAGAGGAAGGATGATAACGTGACAGAAGTCAGACAATCAAGATCAGGTTTCATGTTTATAAGAGTTACCTACATGTAGTGGTCGACTGATCGACTGAATGTCGACTGAACTCTTATCGTTAAGGCTGATTATTCAGCCAATATTTGACATTTTTTAATTAAAAGCATTGGCAGAAGTTCTCCTGTTTGGATGATTAGTGTCTGAATTGGGAATTTATTTTGACAATGCTGAGAACATGCTATATTGCAGAGAAAAGTTGGTAAAGCGTCATTTTTTACACATTTAATTTTTAACAAGGTTCTCTTTTCAAATTGATTACATTTCATAAATTATCATTTAAATTTTGTTTCATTTTTTTCAATTGCTTTAGTAAATAACGTGTAAAATATTAATTTTATAATATTGCTTGTCTTTAAATGAAATCATATCATTTATGAATTTATTTGATAAAAATACAGTAAACAGTAATATTATTAAATCTTATTACAATTTAAATTAACTGTTTTCTAAGTTAATATATGTTAAAAACGGATTTATTCCTGTGATGCAAAGCTGCATGTTCAGCAGCCATTACTTAAGTCTTCTAGAAATCATTCTAATATGCTGATTTGGTACTTAAGAAACTTAAGTTGTTCTGCTTAATATTTCTGTGGAATCATCAGTCTACCACTAACTACCATACATGCCAGATTTGACTAACTTTTATCACAATTTCAGCTTTGATTTGGAGGAAACATAAAAGTGCTAACAGCCTTATAGGTTGCTGAAAGCATATTCAACTCAAATCTAATAAAGAAAAAAAAATTAAAACTTGCTTAACCCAAAATACCCATATACTATAAACAAACATGCTATAGGCAGGGAATGTGTAGAACATTGTGAATGATGGGCTTGAATTCTGAAATCTGCAGGAACAGATTGCATGTGGGGCTGGTGATGTCAAACACATGCCATTCCCACTCCAGTTGAGTGTCTTGTATGATAGAGCAAAAAAAAAGATCAGAACTCACCTTGACATTTTCTTGATAATTTTGACCCATACAATGTTTTTTTTTGGCTATTGCTAAAAATATACCAAAGCGACTTAAGACTGGTTTTGTGCTCCAGGGTCACAAATGTTCTGTATGAGTTATTAGGATTGTGAAATCAAATACGTGGCTTTGGTTTTCAAAGCAAATGTACTGATGGGTGAAAGAGAGGTGTGACATGAAGCCTGAAATAATTTTTCATTCATGCCTGGTCTATCAGTTGTGTTTTTTTATTATTTTTTATTATATTTTTTTGTGCTTGAAAGACAAGAACAGAGAGATAAAGTGCAACTTCCCTATTCCTCCACGAATGAGTGAACTTGATACAGGACAATATGACTGACACCGCTCTGTAATGTTTGATGTATCACATTCTAGCACAGCATAGCCTTCTAGTTAGGCTTATAGGTAATGAAGGAATTTGGGCAACAGAAAATAGCGTAATTCAGAAAGTTTACTGTGAAAAATCTTTGGCTTCATGAGAAAAAATATTGGAACACAAAATACTGTGTTACTTACTGGTTAACAGCATTTAAAAAATACATTTTGCTCTGGAATAACTGAAATGAATTTTGATCGCACTGACAAATACATTCTCCAAAATAAATGAATGAATAAATAATTTTTTTAAACATTTTTCTTTCTTGAACTATTTTGAATCCTTGAAGCTTATTGAATAAACATAAATACAGATATCAATTGCAAATATTTCATTATACTATAGTAGATGTTCTGCCAGGGTCAGAAAGAATATGTTTTATTTTTTCATAGAAGAAATGGAGGTTCATGCTAATTTTATGCTTAAAAACTCCCATGAGCAAAGTAGTTTGTTCAAAATTTTGGGGTCAATTTTTTAAAATGTTTTTGAAAGAACTCTTGTATGCTGACCAAGGCTGCATTTATTTTATCAAAAATACAGTAAAAGCAGTAATACTGTAAATAAAAACTGTTTTGTATTTTAAAATTTAATTTAGTCCTGTGATAGCAAAGCCAAATTTCCAGCAGCCATTACATCGTCTTTAGTATCA